CACACACACACACACACACACACACACACACACACACACACACACACACACTGCTAAAGAAAAAACATCATTGTCCAAATCACTCAAATGCGATGAATTCTATAGAAGACAGCCTGTTGTTTGGCTTCATGAAGCTTTCACTTTGATAGAAAAATCAGTATTTCCCTACAAGGAAGCCATCCAAACAACACAATTAACATTACTAAAAATATTAATAATTGAAACATTACACATTCACTAATAATTGACTATMTTTTCTGTTATATGTGTCACCAAAGAAGAAATGAATAAACGCCCTGAATTGTTTAAAAAAATAACACTTTATTGCAGCGTTTGTCCCCTGTTCACATTCAGATCTGCCATGATCAGGTTCAGCATCTGGACTGAAATTGTGCTTGAATTGATGAGGGCAATTTCATCAAGGAGAGGGGAAATGACCCTTTAATGGGGGGTGGGGAGAGATCTGTTCTAAAGGTTTGAGCAGATAAAGAGAGTCAAACATGTAATATAACAACAAAAACAATAATTTTGAAAATGATGATAATAGCAATAATATTAATAACAACAACAATAATAATGATAAATCATTAGCTGTGGTGACCATCTTGAATTGTGCTAACTCTAAAGTTAATCAGTTGCAGATATAAAGCCATTAATTACTTTCTCTCAGGTTTATTCAAATACATACAAGCGTCTCTTGTGATATTTTGCTCAAAGACAAAATAGAGTAACCTCTAACAGGTTTGGCAAAGTTTCACTAAAAATGTAACACAAAGTGTTGCCTTCAACGTATGCGCAAAGGACAATACTTAGTCATGACCGCACTAAATTTTAGCAAAATGTCTATAAAACTGGGTGTTTTAACCAATTTTGTGTTACCTAAAATTTATTCAATGTGGCAACCATCGTTGTGTTACCTCTAAAAGTTAACCAGTTGTAGATCAACATTTGTTTATTACTTACTAAAAGTTTCATACAGTCCATCAAATGGTTGATGAGGTGTTTTGATAACAGAAAAAATAGGGTTATCTCTAATAAAATATTGGCAATGTTTTAATGAAAAATGTGCCACAATGTATTGTATTCAAAATATGTGTACAATACTCAGCTACTGCACCAAATTTTAGTGAATTATCTGAAAAATTGGCTGAATTTTAGCCAATTTTATAATAACTAATATCAGTTGGCTGTGACAGCCAACTTGCATTGTGTTAGTGTAAAAAAAAAAGTTATCAGTTGTGGATGGACATATTTTCATTAGCTACAAWAAGTTTCCTTACAATCCATCAAATTATTCATGAGATATTTTATTAACAGACAAGCAGCGTTGATTCTAAATGTTTATGGCAAAGTTTAAAACACATACTTTGCCCGATCATTTAGAACTTTTAGAGTTTTAGTCAAATAACTCTCAGCTACTGCCACACCAAATATAAGTGTTATATTTGTTAAGCTGACTGAGTTATAGCCCCTTTTTTTGTGTTTACCAAGAGTGCATTGCTGTAGCGGCCATCTTGAATCTGACTGGCAAAAAGATTAGTCAGCTGGGAGTTTCAATAAAGTCTGTTCAGTGACTCATGAATTGTTTGATTGTAACAGATCTCACAAAGACACACAAACAGTCACGGGAAGAAAAAAAGAAAAGAAATGCACTTCATCCGTTTGGTCAATTTGCCCAGATAAGCAGATGTTTCTCAGAAACTTCGCCACAGGTGTTCAGCTCTCTGCCCTGTCTTCCATTCAGAGATCCATGCTGGCACCGAGAGAAACATCTGTCCACAGGAAAA